GTAGTAAATAATAAAAAGCACCTCGCGTCACCTGGTAGCCAAGCAGTAGGATGTACTAAGTATTGTGTGATATATGGATAAGTTTGATTGTGAGGTAGCACAGAATTGTTCTTAGTTTTGGGCCATTTGAAATTAATGAGCGTTTCGGATTTCTTGAGCGTTAATTTCTCTCTCTCTCTAACTAGGGCGAGAGGCTCTAACTTTCCGATGAAAATATTAATTAATGTTATCCCATTAACATACATAACATACATATTTTATTCGTTCAGCTTAAAGAGGGATCAATAATAAGTGTTAATATAATTTATGATTCTTGAAACAAAAACATGAAAAATTTATTCCTGGCCTCCCTAATGTACAGTTCAGTTTATTTCGCGGTTGGATTAAATATATAGTGACAAGTAGGTAGCTAAAGCTAGAAAGATTTTTCACCTCCATATATTTTTTTTTAAAACAAACTGAAATATAAATTTAAAGCAACATAATCTACGTAGAAAGCGGTAGAAAGTCCATTATCGTTCTCAAATCTTGCTTTTCAACGACACAAGCGTTGAGATTTGTTATCAATTTGTGGTTTTAAATCTTTGTTTGATTGATCGCTCTATACTGTTAACAGACAGTCCTAGAGCTGAAGCCACGTGGCGAAAGCCGAATGCCATGCGAATAGCCATACCATTATCACATCAAACTCGTGAGGCGTAACATTCAGAATTGCCAGATACTCTAAAATCTATTATTAGCTGACAGATAAGTTAAAACCATGTATTTGCATCAATAACGGGTTACTCATTGCTGTTAAAATTATACGAAGTTGTATTAAACACAGTGTTGGACATGGAAAAACGAACCTTATACGATTCGCAGCAAGTCATAAAACCCATTATCACTGTTCTGAATTGAAGTCGTAATGTTGTTAGGTTAAATTATTATTTCTTGTTTCTGTGTACTCTGTTTTCGTAAACAATTAAAGCGGTCCTGCCTTTAGGAATTTATCTTTCTGTTACAGAACAATGTGTCTTGTAAAATCAATTAAAATCACTGCGAAACTATTGTTTCTCGGGATGCATTGGATTAAGTAAATAAAGCAATCAAAGCTGCTTAGTTCAGATACGTTTACCGTTGTGAACTTATTAAAGTTAGTTTTAGTACACATTGCGAATAATAATAGATAATAAATAGGTAAATATAATAATTATGTCATTTGTACAATGATACTCCAATACAGTTAATACCTAGTAATGTTGGATTTTTTTATTCCAATTCTGATTTAGTATTCTATAAGTTCAATCATTTGTCAAGTTTTGAGGCAAACAGTATCGATCAAAGATATAACAGCTCGCAATTCGCTGCAAAGGACTGCATATTTTAAATTCTCGAATATCAAGGGTTTGGACAAGACGGTGAACCCTAATAAGGAGGTTGGTGATGTGTTATTTCTAAAAGGAGAGCCCATCGAACTTTTTTATTTGAGAAGGTGGCAAAGACCAGGCGATTGGCGTTATTTTAAGTGATCACGCCCGCCTATGGCCGCCCACAGCGCACGTTATTAAACCTAAAGGTTTGAAGAATGGGCACCGTTAACCACACTCCCCAGAGGAAACTATGTATAATATTTTTTTTTACTCCATGGTACTTTTCGGAGCTCTGCCACTGTATAACTAAATGCGTTGACCGAACACTTCCTTGTCACCGTACATTTACGCAACGCAATCAACTGGAGTAACACAACTAACTGAAGAGTTCACGTTATCATTTACATACGTTGAAATGCATAAATTTAACGAGCTTCACGTTCGTTTACAGTAACTGGATACAACGCTATGGAATGCAACCAGATAAAGTCAAAACTGTTTTTATTATTTTGTCGCTATTTTTCATCGCGGCATTGGTCACTGTGATTTTTTTTAACTGATTCTTTAAAATTTTGGAACCGCTAAAGCGATAAATGAAATAAATGAAGCAGACTTATGGCTATTTTCACTAAAATATCACTTGTATATCAATAGAAGCATTCTACATTCCAGGTTCGTTTATAAAGAATGATATTAATAATTTCATGAACAACTACAATCACCGTACACAATCGAATGAGTGATAGCGCATTTGCATAAATAAAAAATATTGGTGATAACAAACAATGAAACAAACAATGAAATGCTTTTGCCATTTTAAGTAGGTATTTCTATAGAATAACTGTACAAAATGTCAAATTGCTTATCATAGCTGTTAGCAAATTCGCGCATAATTATTCAATCTATATAAACATTTATACACAAAGGGACAAATGCCCTACAGACATACGAAAGGCAGAATTTAAGAAGTATCGTTGTTCTTTCGCAGTCTTAATTTAATAAAGCATAATATTAGGTTATTTCTGTACGTTGCAGTCATATAACGAGATAATCATGCTGTATAGCAGTATGAGAAGTCTTTACGACGATGTAGAGTTGCGTTTAAAGCAAGCTCTCTTCTTTTTGTACGAATTCGTATTAAATAAATGTGGCGCTGCGTCATAGTGTTTATATAACCATACATTATACTGTGAACGTTGTGTTTTCAGATCTGGCAATGTTTTCTGCGTGTTTTTTATAATCCTTTATTCCCTATCTTATTTCAATTGTTTGTCCGAATAATTGAATATTCATATATTTAGCCCAAGGGCTCCCAGGTGGGGTTGGCACAAGATCAATCATGTTGTTTACTGTATTGGCTAGGTTTTTACGACAGGCCGTCTGCCTGTGGCACTGTGGGTCACAGATAGGCTTTACCCGCGCGGAAATCGAACCCCTGACTCCAGCATCAAAGCCAATAACCCCAAAACAGCAACTGCCGCACCGGGTCCTTGTAATAATATTTCTTAATCAATTCAATGAAATATTTGAAATCTACATTTGGCATGTGTTAGCTTTAATATATTTTATACTATTATAATTCCATTCCATAAAATATATACCGCCATTTTTTCGTAAATTTTTTTATGTTCCTTCATGTTTCAATGTTTCAACCCTAATACAAAGGGAGGTGTATTCTGTATTCCTTTGTGTTAGGGTTAGCCCACTAAATATCTCGTTGCCCTTGTCAAGCCGTTATTGTAGTTAAGTACCATTTTAATCACAGTTATACGAGTTTAACTGCGTTTATCAGAGACTCGGTGTCCGGGCACCTTTTACTCATCATACTCGATTGGCCCGAGATCGAAACTGGTGTGGGCTCCGGTAATAACCACAAAGTGTCTTACAGTGATAGGCATAATACATTTAATTAATTTCATTTTATAAAAAAATACACTTTTTATTTGTCGTTTGGCGCTCTTGTTAAGTTTTATCAGTTCACTGGTTCAATTTGCACCGGGTGTAAGTTTTATAATTCTTTTTTAGGTGTTTATTTTAGATTTATCTTTGTAATACGCTTGCGCCTCTTAGGAAGGTTATCATTGTTTATCATCAAGGTTATCATTAAGGTTATGATTGTTTTAAATTTTCTATATCATTGATTCAAAAAAGATCCATTTTGGGGGTCTACATAAAATTTAGTTATAATATTGTATAAACTTCTTTTTATAACATATTCATTTACTATAAATACATTTCATGTATTATTAGCCACAATTCGACATTATTCCCACTTAAGGAAGTTGCGAATAATTAAAACAATTTCCCTTCATAAATTGATCGGTTATGATAGAGACATGTTAAGTTTAACCAAAACATAAAGTTTAAACTGTATACTATTTACTGTATTTTTTTTAATCTTTATAAATTGCGTTTCTTTAATAAGGCGTATCACTAATATGTTTCGGTCCCAACCATGGTCACCACGTGCTTTTCGCATGATGAAGTGAGAAAATCCATAAGCCAAATAAGATGCGCGCAACAACGCAAATTTCAGAAGCAAGTTATGATTACGTTCGATAGTTTCTTATCGTTATCAAATAACCGTTTTAAAACTAATATTGACGACCAGATTAGCGTAGTGGGCAGTGGCCTATTGCACCGAAGGGTGTGGGTTCGATCCCGGGAAAATATTGTAAGATGAACATAGTGTTTTTCCAGTGTCTGAGTGTACATGTTTGAATATGTTTATCAATTAGTACCCATAGTACAAGCTTTGCTCTGTTTGGGACTAGAGAATGTTGCGTAAAAATGTGTCCGTAATATTTTTTATTCAAACAGACCCCGTAAGTGATTGCTTATTTAAACTTTCTCAACAGATAAACACATTACTTACGTACTAATTTACCCCCGCGTTATACAGACCGAGTTGTCATTTGTCTCGAGGAATGACTAAACATTTTCATCACATTGCGTTTGATGATATTTTTCGCTTTTTTATGTCAATTAATTTTTACATGGCCCTTTCCTAAGCTCCCGAGGCCATCTGCTAAGACGGAATTAACCAATGCACGAATAAAAAAAAAATACTATACCAGACAATAACACATCTATACTAATCGTGTCGCTGTTAAATGTAAAAAATATATTGCGTATTTTTCCCTAGAAAAATTACATCTCTATTTTTATATATGGTTCCTATATATGGATACGTATGTTGAAAAATTTCGACTTGATATTTATTTAGCAATTTCTAATGAAAATCTAAAAACATGTAACTTAATCTTGTATCTAAAAACTGTATAGGCAGGCATAAATGATTAAATATGGTAATTAAATTATTAGTATTAAATTTGTTATCAAAACGTTGAGTGATGACATGATGAAGACGCCACAATCAGCTTCACAGGCGTCGACAGCTTTCCAATCCGAAAATCCGAAGGTCAATTTCAAAATTCTAACCAGCGGGCGAACGTTAAAAATGGCGTCTTCAGCCCACCATTAGAACATTGATACGTAAATAACTAAACAATTAACGTATCTGCAGGATATTGGCCGGCGTTATCGTCGCCCCTTCGCTCTGTTAACACATAGTGCGGTGCCGAGTGTGCATCGATAGTGCGCAACGTGCACAGGTGGTCGAATCGATAAGCCCTACGCCCGTCACTACGCGGCGCCGTCCGTGAATCGGGCGCGGTGGAACGACTTGTCCTCGGCCTCGGCGTTTTTGCCGCGGCCGAGGATTTGTTCGGCGGCGGCCGAGCGCGGCTGTCTCGCCGAAAGCCCATAAACATGAGCGGGCCGGGCGGGCTGGGGCACTCTTGTGTCGCCCCACCGCGACGCGGGCGGGGCCTGCCGCGTGGGCGGCCTGACTAAGAGTGGGGGCCGAATTGGCGCGCCGGCTGCGGGCGCGAGGCTTCGGGCATCTCCGGGGAGGACGGAGGCCGGTGGCCGCGATTGGCGCGCGGCGCTCGCCCGGCCCCTGGGTGGCGCCGCCGGGCCCGGCCTACGTCGGAGGGGCGTCACGCGTCGGCCGCGCGCCAGTCTGTGTCGGGATTCGAACGCGCCAACGTGTCGTCCGGCGTGCGAGGTGCGCGCCCCCATGGTCCCTGACGCGCCGGGACGGCAGCGCGCCGCGCGGCCGCCTTCTATTGCCGCGATGAGGCCCCAAACGTCCACGTAGCGACAGTGAAGCGTCCGCGGCCCGTGCTCACATAGACTTCCAGAGACAGTGTTGTGTGAAGCCGCCCTTATGATCGTCCCAATGGCAGCGTACGCACAATTCGGCTATTCGTACCCGCCCGCCTCACAGGTCAGTTGTCCAGCGCTAGCCGCTCTATTAAGCGGAACCGTCACTTTACTCAAAGCCGCGACTGACGGCCTTTTGAGCCAAGGGCTGCGGTGTGCGGTGTGCGGTCATCTGCCACTGCCAATGTAACGTGTTAAACTATGCAGTCTGACGTGAAGGGAATATTCATAAAATCACACGTTTAAAGTTTAACTAAATGCGACGCTATTCGTAACATGTTCATTAAATTACTTGCGGTATCCTCGTAAGCACAAGCAATCGCTTGGTGACGTCCCGTTGGATTTGATTATTACGCCTACGTGTTTTAGTTTCAGCCATATGACCTTAATAAGCCGTTATTGTACTTTTAGCTAATATACCATACGTAGTTTTTCAAATTTGAAAACGTTTTTTTTATAATGCAAATTAAAAATATATTTTTCGCAGTTTATTGCTCTAGTAGAATTACAACTTCGTATCACCGTGTACGTATCGTGGTCTTGGTAAATATTTATAGTTTAATAAATTATTAAATTGCCAAATTGTAAACCTTTATAACTTTTACATAATCTTTTTAGCGTTTATGCTACGTAATGTTAATGACTACTTGATGGTTAATCAAAAGAAACGCTACAGAGTAAATAATCAACGCGCCAATAAATGATCTGGGTTATTAAATAATACAAATTAACATACAAATATATCAACATATCATGTATGTTCCAACCGGTAATGATTTACATATCTTTATACAACAATAATTTCAATATAAGACACTGGAGTCATTCAGGCCTAAAGAAAGCGAAGTAATCTTTTTAGTATTTTTAATAGTAAACCTATTCAAAAATTGAGGGCTTTTTTATAATTACAAGTAAAACGTTAAGTGATAATATGTAAATTAATTTATATATTCTACAATGTGTTTTGTTAGATCTTAATTTTTGAATGAATAAAATTAACCCACTTATTTATTACATTTACGCTATGATGTATTGTTTAACCATATTTATTTGTAATGTTTTTTTTGTAAATAACAGAAAGTTCAGCCGGAATTAGTATTATTTATTGATTATCTGCAGTTAGTCCAGGATGTAAATGGAAATTTAATAACAGCTATTGTTTTGTATGTGATGGACATATCCATATTACAGAAAATTTAAACCAACTGCAGAACAGTTTAATTGGCGCTTTGTAACAAACGTTGTACATCGTATCCTTACCACTTTAAATTATAAAGAATAAATGAGTAACTCGAATAATTATTGAAAGATAAAAAAGCGGGGAAGAGCAATAAAGTGCAAAACTAATGATTTGTTAAAACGTTTGGTACCTGGTATAGTAGCAATGATACGTCGTCATTTATTATTAAAAAAAAAAACTATTTGTATCGACTAGGGCCTGTCGCTATACTATTAGTATAGTGTACAAATTAGTATGTTTCATTTCGTCAGCCGAGTGAGGGAGCCCATACTTTGTTCGTCATTTAAACTGTAGTGTTACAATTGCGTAATTAATGACGAAGGAAATCACATTCTCTTTTGTAAAAGATTGATATTAAAGAGACGTTTACGTCTTTGACATCTCTTCCACTATCGGCCCGACGGGATAGTATAGCGTGTAGGATTATCGGCCACGTAAAATACAGAAACGTACAACATGAGCGCAGTGTTGAAAGCTCTAATACTGATTTTTTTTAAATAGTGACGTTCCAAGGAGTCATAAACTAACCTCAATCGATTATGTATAACGTGTTTGTAACGAAGTCATACGCTAAGAATTAGCCCGTCCCAACTAAACTATTCCTAATTCGACGGTGCGGAACGTTGATTTTAGTTTATAGTTTTAGCGCTTGTGATAGGGCCATTTCCCAAAATTATTTATTACATACATTACTTTCTTATCATGGAAATTCGTTAATTTAGTTTTTTAATTTTTCTACGCTTACTCAAATATTTAGTCCGATTTACGATTGATTGATATTAAATGTTAAAATGTATCAAAATAAATTTTCATTTATTCTCATACCGCTGCAGCATCTTTTGTTGTTGAGTAAGGTATGCTTAGCGTTTAAATGATCGTGAAACAATACAAGTTTAAACAAAAAATCAAAAGGTGTATATTTATATTATTGTAATGTTGTAAGTAATCCGTATTGTTCAATCACTTTAAAATAACAAGTGTGGCGGAGGTCACAAGGTGTGGTACTTCAGAAACAAATAATAATTACGCGAAACGTTATTATTTCGTGAGCATTAATCCGCAATAAAGTAATTATATTGCGATTTTTATGAGTACTTGTGGTCAATTGGACCGTTACATATTTCCCGCCAATAAGAAATATTATTTAAAATGAGTATATTCGGCAGTTGACCATATATTAATTTCATTATGATGACCATAAATTGTAATATATTTGGAAGCATATCATTGTATAACCGTCACTAACAATGTCAGCTTCTTTAAATACTCCAGGAATTCGACGGCTTTTGCATTTCAATTCATATTCAAGACTTCAAAATGCTATTAGAAATTCTATGAACTCATCTGGTCTGGCATTTCTTATAAGAATTCGTCGAAACCGGAGTGTTAGATCTTGCCTGTTTTAAAGGGGATTTATATCTAAGTTGTTCATAATTTATTGGTCATAAATAAACATTTTGCAAATAAAAAATAATCAAGCAAACAATGACCGTGGTATGAAAGTCGCGCAATTTGAATGAAAATGGTAGGAGTAGGTAAAGAACGGTTTTTGGGTCTCAAGATCTATACGGTTTAAGAATAGTCTTTGCTACTAATGCAAGTGAACTTACCATGCTTTTTCTATTCTGCTAAAGTTCAATGCAACGTTAATAAATGATTTCTTATGGATTCCTCGATTTTATTTTAAAATTAGAAATACACAGAACACAAGTATTCAATCGAAATAGTTGTATTTAATATGGGTATATTAGATAAAATTAATAAATATACGAATCAATTTTATCAAATACATAACGACATACAGCTGTATGTATTTGCTGCTTGTTTTGCTGCTTGTTTTGTATTTCAATACGATAGACTTATCCTTGCCGCGACATATACGTCGTGTGTTAAGTTTGAGCCGCAAAACCCATCAGTATTAGAATTTCACTAAGGCGTCTTGTTAAGCTCTTCAGATTACTAACAGGCGTTGAGAATGAATTTGAGGTTTCGGAAACTGCGTCAGTTCTGGATTTTCTCCTTAATTTCCTGTTTTATAAAATCATAAAAGTTTCAGGCGTCAGTACAGCGCCGTTAGGGTCTTAACAAGCTGGATAATTGGAAGCTGCTATAAAGTCAAAATGTCGACCGTAGGTGACCATCCTATTATCTACGGCTGATTGATCACCCGTTGCCGTGGCAACGCTCTCCAGCCGGCGGCACTCGGAATGGCGTTTAAAGAAATAGGATAAAAGCACGATAAGCCTTACGGGTGTTGGTTTCACTCGTTTTGTACCACTCGAGCTAAAACCAGTGAACCCAACACCCTAAAACGAGTTAAGCTTAAACGAGTGACGCGCTAATGAGCGTAATACTTTCCAATTGGAGCGCGGGATTAATCCGAAAAGTTTTAGGTTCAACGTTTACTGTAAATAGTCGTCGCAATGAACAGAATACGTAGATAATGAAGACGACGGTGATGAATCTAATTTCCTTAATGCCGAATGCAATAGTGGTAAGGTACTTTTAGATGTTATAAAAACCATTTTTAGATTCAAAGTTACAATGCTATAAAGTATTCTATAATAAGCGAAGGGACAATAAAGTTTCACGGCCGCATGCACAACATGGTACTATATTGACGCCGTACGCTTAGGCCGCAATGATGTAAAGGCCTATCACAGGTTTACTTCGAATTAATGGTTTTATAATGATGAATTATAATGATTTGTTCAACCCACTAACAAATTTATCTAAAGATGTAACACTGACAGTACATCTGAACCAATATATAGCATGTATTATTGCAACTTCAACTTAAAATAATTAAGTTAAAGTTGCATATTTTCCGAACTATGTTTGTTCATAATAAAAGACTATGGTTGGCTAAATTACAAAAGTGGAATACGGTTGGGTTTTGAGACTTGAAATCTAATTCATACATCAAAGTATTAAGATTTCAACAACGTTTATGTTATAAAATATCCATTAATTTAAAAAAAGGCATTCGAGTGTGGATAAGAACGAATGAATTGAGACGTTAACCTTTAATTGAATTTAATTGCGGGAAATAATTATACAGAGTACATTATTTGCGAAGTTGTTAACTTTGATCTAGAACTGAAAGACAATGGATAACTAAAATTATCGAAGATAAACATAAAACTGTTTAAAAACTTTTTATCTGTAATGAATACGAACGATTTACATATAGAAATCTCAAAATATTCTTCGGTGTCCATAACATTAGTGAAGTGTTCTTATTAAGTCTACATTAGATGTTGTGTCAGTTTTATCAACAGAAAACTTGTGTCCAAATACATACTGTCGAGCAGGAAACGCATCCAAGTACTAAACGCCAAAGTACAAAAAATGGTATACGCAAAATTATTTAATTCAAACATTTGGCTGTTTCATTTCATTGTTGGGTTTGTTTTATTTAAGACGATATTTATCTGAGTTTGCTTTGTGACTAGAACAGGTGGAAGAATTGCAGTAATTTTATATCTTAAAAGGAGCACCAAACGAGTAAGCCCCCCGATCAGCGCAATCGTTTAAAGTTAGAAATGTCTTTGCTGATCGGCGTGCATAAAGAGCCATTAAAGCAATGCAAATTAGCGGCTTAGGCTGAGGAATAAATAGATTTAATTTATTTAACCGCTTGTAGACCCGTCGCTGGATGCGGTCGGCAGTCGGTGCCTTTCCCAACACCAGTTGACCCAAAAGGGCAGCGTTCAAAGTTAAGAGGGCTTTAATACAGCGTTCCATGAGATAACTAATTTGAAATAAGGGGGATAATTTAAATATCCGCAATGTGACGCGGCGGTTGAGTAGTTGGTTGCCTATTTAATTTTATTGTATTAAACAAGCCGGTGTTTAACAACAATATATAATTTAATCCGGTCCATATAAATACCATGCCAACAATGATCAGAAGATAGAATTTTAATGATTGGCTATTTGTACGAATGAGTGTAACTGAAAACTTCTGTGACTTAACCAGGTTTTTGCGTTGCAAAACGTGGTTAAGTCACAAAAGTTACAACACCTTTATGAAAACATTTCCTACCTTCCTTGCCCGAGTCGCTTAAGATACTATTGTAATAATAGTATAGTGCAAAAAGATAGATTTCATTTTAAAATTCAAGTTAATATTATAAGCTACTCGTAAGAGGAGTATTTTTTATGGAAAAAGAGGCCTATGATAATACAGAGACTTAAAAATATTCAGGCTTCCGGGATATTAAAAATATTCCCCAAATGGCACTGGGGTAGAGCCAAGCAACAGTCTGCGTTGTTGCACGAATGTGCATTTTTGATTTATAATTCTGCGTTTCGTCTGGTGAGTGAGTTAGCCGGGGCCCACTATATTACAATTGTACGGGTGTAGCAAATGTCCATGAGCGGAGGTTATCACTTAACATCAGGTGAACTGTCAGCTCGCTCACCACCTTCTCACATAAAAAAAATAAAGTCAAAATTACTGTTATTGAGCATATTGTTTTACTGATAACAAGTATACGAGTGGTATTTTATGATGTTGTATCATAAAATATGATTCATTTTGTCTTCTTTAAGAGGGAAATTGCTGACTAATCGTCTGACGTAAGCGATTGTTGATGCCCGTGGGTACAGCGTTGACAATCTTTCCGGTCGCTAATCTATAGTCAAAGATCATAAAAGTCAACCGTTATTGAGGAATGTTTCAGATTTATTCACAACAAACTATTGCTTTAGCATCGAGTAACGTGGGTAATCATCCAATCAACATTACATTACATTTTTCCTTACATACACTTGTCCCTTCGCACCTCTATTGCGGCTGAGCTTTGCACGTTTTGGAGGTATTTGCTTGGTGTAACAATAATGATGTTATCTTTATTTTGGTTTGATGTATTCAATTCCCATAACTACAAAGATATGTTCGAATACTATAAAGGAGAAAAATATCTATGGAACATGTATCATAGAACTCATTTCCAATGTTGTTAAACTTATACTTACATATTCATTTATTGTAGAAAAATTGCTTAACTCAATAGGATTGACTTACTAGGCTACAGTTTATTATTCTTTAAAGTGTTGATGAATTTTTAAAAAATTGAAAGTTTTAAATTTCAAGTAATTGTGTGTTTACATAGAATAATTTAAATATTTGAAAATACGAAATTTTATAACTTTTTTGTATGAAAAATAAAAACGTACAAAGATTTTATTTCAACAAATATGCATTTGGTTGGCCATGTCATTGGATTTTAAAAGATAGACTGGTAATACCATAAGGTTTTTTATGTTAGAAGATGGCAAGCCAGCTGGCCTTTCGCCTGATGTTAACTGATAACCGCCGCCTATGGAGATTTGAGACACCAATAGGGTTCGTTGCGTTTAATAAAGTGAAAACATTTATATTGCTAGTCATAATATTGGCAACAATTACGACAACTAATCATAGTTATAGTAGTGTTATTAAGTCCCGCAAAGTATGTTTAAAAAGCTGTTCATTATTTTTCGCTATGTAAAATAGCGAAAAATAATGAGGCAAATTCCGGTAAATATGACAGCAAGTGATTATGATGTTCCCATTATTATGCCACCATTTAATAATTACCATTTATTGTTTCTTCTAAAACTGACAATTGGTACGGTGGCTCCTTTTCAGAAGTTTTAAAATGTCTAGGAAACCTTTACGCACAGACAGGATAGTTTAATATAGGACACATAAATATATTATAGATAATATAATAATATAAACTTTGCTCTTTTACAAAAGTAAGCCCTAAAACACGTTTAACGGCAATCTTTTACGATTTCCCTTGAGGTCAGTAAGTGAGGTGAATTATCGCTTCCACAGGGCCATTAAATCATCCTTTATTGTTTCAATATAATAGTTAAATCGATAAATATTAAACATGAATCAATATTCACAATCGGATTTAAACGCGTCGAAGGAATTCTTAGCATACAATGGAGTACCACAGAGTGGAAAGTGGAGTCAACGTTGAAAGTCCCAACGCGCGGTATAAGCCGAAATCCTATGGAAAAAAGCGGTTCGGGCATAAAAGCGGCTACGGTTTTGTGGACCGCGCCGCATCCGTACGGGGCGGCGGGGCGCAAACGGTTAATTTATTGCGCACACAAATCCGAGCGCGGCGCTAGTGCGGCGGCTCGGCGGTCCCGCAACAATTTTCCGTCTAATTGAACGAGCGCAATTGACCATTCAACTTGACTGGAGGCAGTTAGTAGTTAATAGCTTTCTGATATGGTGCTGCAGTTTTAAAATCAAACAAACGCCAAGAAATTGCCCCGGCGTATTGCCCCCCTCCCAGCACTACGCCCCCCCCCCCCCTCCCGCCGTCGTCAAATCGCTTACGAGAGTCGGACCCCGGTTGTACTTGTTTGCAGTTTTTATTGCGCACTTATTAATTATAAGCGAGGCCCGCCGATACGGTGTACACGACTTCGTTTATTGTTTTTTAAATAGTTTCCCTACGTAGGACTTTTGCATGTTCAATGTTGGCTTAATGTCGCCTTTCCATTTTTTACCTTTCATTATGAACGGTCACGAGGAATGTACAGCTTAAGTGATAAGCCTAGTTAGCGAGGGCCTAGTACCCTTTCCTTCGTTTCGTATAAAGAGTAAAACAATTCGTGAACATAAATTTGAATTGGGTAAAACAATTTGTGAACACGAATTTTTTTCCCAATTCAATGGCGAGATTAAAAAGTGGTACGAGCAGCGACCGCCGTTTAAATTATTCAACTCATAACCGGCCTACGTGAAGAGAAACTTTTTGCTCGGTCGTTTATACAATTGTTTATTTGCAATTGCCGACAACACGTTTCGTAAGTTTACGAATAATGAGCGGTTTTTTAACGCTCGCGAGGCTGTTGAAAACGCCTCATGCCAAATTGCCCACTATCCAACGCCTAATTTGAGCGGGTGGTATTTCTAGATATGCCAGCCAATTGGTCTTGAGCGTGTGTTACAGCGGAACCTGTTCACCGTCCGTTACACCGCGATGATGACTTTGCATAAAGGCGTTCACTAGCAGACGGTTGGGTGGTTGACGATTATTTTACACATTCGCGACACGCGCCGTTCAGCGACGCGGTAAAATAAAGGTAGCTAGGTCGGCGCAGTGTGGCACCAGCATTACGTTTGTAGCGAGCGATCCATTTGTCAGAAAATCCGGTAGGGTGGCCATACTGTGAGTCCGCAATGGAAGCCCGTTCTGGCGTTTTAATTGAGTCCTCCGACCTCACAAACCACTCGCACCCACCGCCCGCCGACTGTTGTGTACTAAGCGGACTCCAAATACTCGTAGACCGACACACCTATGGCCGAGTAGTAATTTCGTCTAACACCACCCTCGTACAGACATGGCTGACGGCGAATGGTGTCGTGATCGGCTGTCGTTCTAGATTTGATACATCTCTATTTACACAATAAATTGTCAGTGATAGACGGTGCCTTAAATGGTAGGATAATTAAACATCTTATTCCTAATCATTTCAAACACAGTAGAATCTTTGCTAGCCAACTATCAATCTACGTTCTCGAAGATTAAACTCTACGTTAAAACGATGTTCACGTAGTGCTCAAACTATCGTACGTATCACCACGCTGCCCCATAACTAAACACGGCATCACTTGCCGTAATTGACTCTTATTTACTTCAATGCCCAATAAAACTTAATGATCGACTGTATAAATAGATGTGATGAAAATAAATGCGTCGTCAACGGCGTACCGGCGATGGTGTCCAAGGTTTTTTGTTGGTGCGCGATGGCAGCCCTGTGCGTGTTGTTTTTACCCGCGAGTTACTGGCGGGCAATTAATTTGCGGCGATTACAGCAATCGCCTCCTGGCTTGTTATTAAACTTGTCGCCGATTTAAGATGGAACATGGATCTCAAATTGGCGCGTCGCGCCCGATTGCTCCTCCGCGCGCGCTTAAATTGCTAGTGGCCCGATCGATTGGCACGCTCAATTCGTCGGTGATGCTAGGCGCGAGCAGCAAGCCTCCCATGCTTCACGTACGGGTGAGTTCGCGCTTGTCTGTCCGACTGTACTCATGGTGTCGGTCTTTTTGTACTTAGAGAAAACCTCTCCGTTGACACGAAACGGTGGCTGTACAGTGGAACGGAACAGTGGTTGATTATTTCGGCGGTGCTGAATCACCTAGTCCAATGGCGGCGCACAATAAATAGCAAATCGGGAGGTCCGTAAGTGAAGTGTCGCGCGCGCTAACTACTGGGAATTCGACCATCGGAATTATCGATGCAATCCGACTGACCATAATTGAATGGAAGTGCATCAAATAACCATTAATTGTTGTTGCGGGCGCGATTGTTATTTATCAGCCGGATCTGTCGCCTCGGGCGTCGACTCTGCTACTCCAAATCCATAGGGGATGAGGTTGAAGCCTTCCGCGCGGTACGGTCGTGTTCAATAATGGATTGCGCTTTAACATCTGTCTACATCTATACTAAAACTAATGCTTTGTGCATAGATACTTAAACTCCCCATTATGATTTATGTAAGTCAAACAATTTTTTTTCATATCATTTTTTTTTCTTTTTTTACTATATAATAAATTGCATGTTATTGCTGAAATTTATGAGATCATAAAATGATACAAAGAGAAATTCGCTTTAATAAAATTTTGATATAATTGTAAGAACTACTATTATTTAAGCAAAACATTCCTCGTCAACATCTTTTTGCACCACAATAATACCAACCTCTTGGCGCAATTTTGTAAAGAGAACTTTTTCACTTATGATTTTCAGAATGTAATCCTTGGAATCACAGAATTGGAAATGCAGAATTTCAATTCATTCGGCTCCACAAGTTTAGTGCATTTTACAGCTAATTTGAACGGCATACAATCGGATTAAATAATTAATGCTCTGAAATTTTTAAGCGCTGTTTAAAGTTATTTCCTTTGAATTTATTGTGTAAATGTAATGATCGACAACTATTGACATTCGCTTATGTCAATAGTTGTCGATCATTACATTTGGCAACTATTGTTACGTGATACAATGGGATACAACATTCAAACGAGTGATCTGGCAATGTACATGACATCCGTATCTGCCCACATGAACGTTCCGCAAAGACGTCATTCTCATAGTGGCTGTCCAATACAAGGTACAGTCGAGTCTAAAAAAGATTAAAAGGAACTCATTAAAGAGGACAACATATTGCACTTTGGCTGCACATTTCTCTTTTGAATAAGTTAGAATTTGTAGACGACTGCGAAATGAATTGTGAACTCTGCATTCACGTGTACTTGGACGGCGAAGCGGAGGGCAGACAGCGAGGTGATTTCTCTCCTGTATTGCGTCACGCACACGGTACCGACGATATTTATAATTCTGACAGCTAATATGAGTGACCACTGTGCTCTATAAAACTTTTGTTTTATTATAAACAAAGGGTATAAAAAACCCTTTTGCGATACAACACCGTCGCTTGCAGTTTAGCGAATAATAACTATGTCGATGTACTCACGCCGAGGAATTGGATTAGAGATGCTTAAGTTAACACTTCTTCAGTCAGTGATCAAGTTCATTACATAACGGTATGGTAAGCACGCGTACCATAGTCGATTGAATAGTATAGAGTCAGTCACCTTACTTTTTAAACGGTTTTATTTAGCTCGACCCGTACGGAATTTGTTTGTTTGGGTCAAAATTAGAAATTGAAATTTAAGCACCTTCCCGTTGTCAGATTGATCTGAAATTTGGTACACACATTTAATTTAGATGACAATGCAATATTAACAAAAAATAATTTAACCAAAAAAAAACCGTTTAACTTAAAAGTTTTTAAACGGTTTTATTCAATTGTAAATTATAATAAATTAGAGAGCTATTAGTAACCACATACTGTTATATCCTTGTCTTCCCTAACATAATTTCACGCCGGTCCGCGTGTACCCTAGCTGACATACCTTGATCAGGAGCTGATAATTTGTAAATCATGTTTATAACATACGAAACGAAACGCAACGTGTATTACGTTGCATTTCGTTTCGGAGGCGGTCCGATGAAGTGTGCGTAGTAAGGTGGGCTCACTAACCAAAGGCCCAGAATCGCACACGCACGGCCGCCGTCTGGAGCCAGCTCAAATTAAAACACGACTCCCGGTCGTACTTCCCGCGTCTAAAGAGAGGGCTCGCGTTTAACGGGCAATCATTATAATGATCGGTTATCGATTTGCCGTGTAGCGTGCTCCCTCAAAGGACCAACATTTTACCGATTACAACGCCGCCCGGCGGCTATTCCGTAATCTAAGTTCGGGCCTACCGTCGTCACGATATCGCCGACGTATCTCCGTCGCTTCATATTTATAATGCCCTTTCGGAAATTCATATAATAACCGTCCGATAGCGATCTAATTATTATAATGTCCTATTTAACATATCCCGTTGGCTTGGAATTGGGCCGCGCGACCTGCCCACCGAGACGGGATAATGCCTCCGCTAATTCAACGGAAATTACGAGATCATCAGATCACGAACTATGTCGGAACGTGCGCAAGAGGAGCCATGTCGCGTTGAAGTTTGAACATGTGGAGACCAACGAGCTTCAATATTAGGTGTTAATAGCAATTATTAAAGCACTTATACACAGGCGGGTTTTAGAGCGGCCCTTGAGGGCAAGGACGGATCGCACGGGCAACAGGGACATGTATAGGTGTGACAGCGGCAGACGGCCGCACGGGGCCGGCGTCCGAATCTCATCAAATATTGACGGACGATTGAGAGCCTCGTCCATTAGCCTGCCCGTATCTAGCGGACGTCCGCGCCGAGCGGATTCACTAGACGCATACTAAATGAGGCCACGCCCATTTCAATTACGTCACTCCACGCTCACAAATCTCATGCTATTGTTAAAAATCAAACGTGGTCGCACCGAGCGATGGAATTTTCGCGAATAGCATTCCCTATGAAACATTAATTACATATTGACGGCTAACCAATTTCCATTGCAAATAGCATCGCTCAATAATAACAAACCTTGTGAGTTACTATCCATAACACCTTAAATACTTGACACGTGACTATTTCGACGCGAAACTCACCAACACTCAAAACAAAAACACCGTTAGAATTTGAAATTCGCTACGCGACATTAATTAAAAGAATAACACGATCGAAGGTATGGTTACGTCTATATAACGTCCAATAAATTACTAAACATTCCTCATTTTTTTTCGTTTGTAGCTCATAACATTTGCTTTACGCCATGAATATGCAATGTGCACAGCGCTCTAAGAATGCATGTAGACGTATTTGTATCCAGCGGTGTACACAGCGAGACCTAGAGCGGGCGAAGTTTTTAGCCGTTCTTTTTATAAATGACCTGTGTGTGTTTGTATAATGATCAGTTAAATATAGACAACACCAAATGAACCGGATAAACGAGACCGTTAAAGCTTTAACTCGGTTGAATTGCACTTAAAATCTCTCAGTTGACGGCTGGCTATACTTCGCCCAGTTAACAGAGATTCCGATTGATAATAGCGATGAGTAAATAAGCAATAGGGAGGAAGCTGATGAGAAGCTTCTATTTTGGGTTTTTCCATTCTTTTGATACACGTAAAGTCCGCCAATTCGCCGTAGGTGTCTTTGATTAGCAGCGGCACTTGTTTATATAGGCTCTTACTTTACTTTTAAACCTTACATAAAAATTATTTGTGTGTGGAGACGCATTAAGATTCTCTCGTTATAAGGCCAACATGTTTTTACAATTACCGACCTTTTGAGAAATAATTTATGCAGAATGAAGAAAAACATGATAATGTTAATCACACATTTTTAGTTAGCCTTTGCTAACACGACATATTATGATGTTAGAACGGTCAGTGCATAGCAAACTCGTAATATTGTTTGGCATCTAATTGGTTTGGGGGTAGTAAGTAGTAATGTAAGTAAGTCATAATTAGTTAACGTAAGTATATAATGCATATTTAACTAAGCATCTTCCTCCACATATACATAAAAATTATACATTTACGAGAGTTTCTGTTAAAATGAAAACAAATTCTATGATAAGAGTCTAGGACTAGTCTAATACTTTAGGAAAAACCTTAATTACTTATCAATCCCCAGCTATCCGAACCGCATCCAGAAACTACAAATCCGTGTAATCTATTCATAACACGGGAAGTCTTTCACGTGTGGCCGTTAAGAGATAACTAAGTTGTCCGTTAATTATTCTCACTTAGAACTCGCCCCATAGCGGTTTTCGTTCGTTAGCGGGCAGAATTAACGAATTGTTCGACGCTCATTTAAAATTCCTTCCCCATTTTCAACCACGTTCAGTGGAACTGTTGACGCTCCGGCGGGTATTCGTAGATTGTCTCCTTTCAATCACAATTACTTTCATGTCATAGACCAAACGTTTCCATTTGAAACTAAAATCAGTTTGCGACGCGAGTAAGTGGAGCGAATCTGTCGTCCGCTACCAATACATCCATCATTTTACTTTTTGACACTGTATGTGGTCTGCGATGAACTCGGATAAGTTTAACCACCTGTTGGTTAGCCACGTTAGTATTAAAATTTTGAACTATAATCATCACTACAGTTTTAAGTAGTGAGCTGACATCCTTTGTAATTTCCCCATACTTTTTGCAGTTTTGTGAGAATTGTAACAGTTTTGTAAATGTTTTCTTATTTTGTTGGAAATCTTTTCGATTTATATCAATTGTACTTGCATAAAATCCTCATACCGTTCTTCTCGTCATTCATTATTGCTTTATGAGTGATTCTATTGTATCGAATTGCCTGTTTTGCTAAGCCTTAGTTTTTTACCCGAATCAAAGAGGTAGCCTCGACGAAAGCCTGGAACATTGCGAAAGGACACGAATTTTGTTGTTTTAATTTGAGCTTCACCTTTTACACGAGCTAGATGCAATAGGCTGTCCATTTCTTTAACAGACGATTTAGCTTCTAACGTTTAAAAAAATGACTGAAGCGTGACGTGGCTACGTATTCATTTGTTTGATCAATATGCTCTTATATAAT